ACGAAGACATGGCAGATATGGGCGACAATTGTGTCATCGGGTTGTGGTCTTCGGGCAGTCCGTCCACTAGTGTCACGGCTGGCGATGGTTTGCCTAAAGACGTCAAATCGGGTGATAACCAGTTGGAAGACTGGAACCGTTTGGCTACCTCTTGGATCCCATTGCGAGATAATAGGAGACGACTCGGGAATAAAGTTTTCATAATTTTTGTACTGATTTTTGAATTTAAATAATAATTAAATGAATTAAAAGCCAAATGAATGACAAAAAGCACTGAAAAGTAGTTTATTATTGTTTTACGCGAACACAAAGTTAGGGATCATTTCATCACTGCTTTGATGTTATCAACACTTTTACTACACTTTCATTTGCACTCAAACTTCAAGAATATTCTTCACGTTTTCTCTCAACTAATATATGAAGAAATAGTGACCAATAATTGTATTACTATTTAAAACTATTTAAACGTGAAGAACATGTGCTCTCTTAGAGATCGGACCACATCTATGAGTATGTGATAACAAATGCTTACTATTAATAACTGTTAACAGTAATTAATTTTGATAAATGATTGAGTAATTGAGTTGCAATTCAATCAGTGTTTTTGTCGTCAGTCATCAATATTTTCATAAATTATTTTTAATAAAGTTATTATACAAATAAATTATTTCATAACTACAAACATAAGCGCTATATTTAATCAAATGTGTATAGCATTTATGATAATCGTTAAACACATTTAATTCATTGGCCATTTAAAAGAAACATTGGCTAAAAATAAATAATTTGTTTAAATACTAATCATATAAATGTTACACTTGTTTGGGAACTTTATTGGACTAAAAATATAAATGAATGTTTAATAATGATAATTGTTATCTAATTATTACATGTAATCGGTTGAAAGTCATGAGTGAATTGTACATTCAGTTCAGATATAAGTCAAAAGCACTCTATTTTTATATCAAACCTAATTTGGTTTANCTCTATTTTTATATCAAACCTAATTTGGTTTAAAAATGATATTTACTTAAACCTTAAAGTAAACCATTCATATCACTAATCACTTGAAATATTTCCAAAATAACAGTTTTTATATTATTTGAATATTATAATAGGGTTAAATAAATATTAGGCATAATTCATAGGAATTTTTAAATTCACAGAAAAATATACATTTATATTTTCAAGTGTTTTGAGTGTTTTTCTCGCTATAGTTAAGAATTAGGAAAGAATTGACATTTTTGTTTCAGACTTATTCCTAATTATTCTTTGTGTTTATGTGAACAATGTATTGAATAATAAAGTAATCATTTATAAAATGCATTTAAAATTCAAATATTGTATCACTTCATCTCAAAACAAAATAATTAAAAGAAATCTTTGGATTTTGATGTATTTTTGTGCCGCAAATGCGCAAAACATTTGTATTGATTTTTTAATAACACAAAATTCTTTGCAACGAGTGATACAATTGAATGAGACATGAGATCACATAATGGAGAATATCTGTTCAATTCTTAAGCCATTGGTTGCGGTTTTAACATTAAATTAAAATGTTTACCGAACCGTCTTATATGACATCCGAGGGTGTGTTGAATCTTGGGGTCAACACAACAACCGAACCCCTGAAAGACTGTGTGGAAGTGCCCGCACATCACCTGCTGTTCCAGATCGCCAATATATGTTTCGTCTTATCCTATGCCATACCTAATGGCAAATATTGTATTTTGTTTATGCATTCAATGCTGGCGTTCGGCTGTCTATTGGCGGCCGTCTGGTCGTGGAGTTTCATATGTGGCTCAGGAATGATTGGCTGGTATTTCACGTTTATGTTGGTTAATATTGTCCAAACCTTTTACCTCCTCTACACTATGCGTCAAATCAAATTCCCTAAAGAGCTCGAAGACATTTACCAGACATTATTCGAGCCAATCATGATATCGAGGGCTCTCTTCAAAAAGCTGGCATCGATTGGACAGATAATGATATTACACGCGGGAGAGGCGTATGCTATGGAAAACCTAACCCGAACCGATCGGTTGGGACTATTAATCAGCGGAAAGTAAGCATTTAGTAAAATATTCTGTAAACATCACCACAAAAAATGTGACACCAATTCTTGTTGTTTGGATCAGAGTTAACGTTATTTCGGGCAATCATTTCCTTCATTGCATTGAAAGCAAACAATTCTTAGATTCGCCGGAATTTGAAAGCAGTAAATCGGGAACTGAAGAGAAATTCAAAGTGTCTCTCATCGCCGCCACTTCCTGTCGATACATCTTCTGGCAAAGACAATCACTCGAATACCTTCTTATTAAACAACAATTCT